GTTAAGAATTTAGTGACAGTTTAATGGGATGGTTCATGTTTTACTACTACTACTTACTACTACTTTACTTATAAAGCACTTTCAAACAACCATGGCTGCAACAAAGTGCTGTACATGTGAAATCAAAACATGAAAAATACAAAACAAAGATTAAAAACAATAAAAAAACAGTTAAATAGGGTTAAAACGAAATGTATTTTTAGACAAGTTTTAAAAGTGGACAGTGAACGGGCTTGTCTAACAAGCAACACAAAAAGCTGTGTTGACATACATGGTTCTGTCAGACAGATATGATCTAAACCAGTTTAGTGTGGTACCACAGATACCTACTTGGTGCTCTAGACATGAAATCAAAATGTTATGATCGACTGTATCAAAAGCAGCAGTTAGGTCGAGCAGGACAAGAACCTCGTGTTCACCTGAATCATTAAGCATGTCATTAAAAACTCTTTTTTTTAAGTGGAGTTGCGTGGAAAGGTTATATATGAAATGAATATGTTACTTGTTGTAGTTATCTCTCAAATGATCTCAGTTTAGAGAAGTAGGGTTGAATTCTGACTGACAAGCTAAGGGTTAGTTCCAAGCTCTACCTTGATTGCTGCAATATAAGCAATTCTCAAAAATGTCATAGAAAACATTATTTTATGTGTTTTATGTTACCATGAGTTTTTGCATTACATGATACGGTGTATAGCAAAGACAGGACAAAGACCCCTTAAAGCGATCCAGATCTTGATGAGTTGTTTCATAGAGTGTTCTATTTTGAACAAGTGATGTCATCTCGTGACGTAGGGATATTACATCATCACATACATCAAACATGATGATGTAATTCCGTCACATATGGGCGGTACCGGTACCATTTGTTTTGTCAAGCAGAACCCTCCTCCCTCTTCCCCGCTGAGCTGGTGTGCTCTACCTGTTTTCCTTTTCCTACTTTTAAAAGCTACCGAAGGATGTGCTGATGTCAAACTTTTATTCTCCTGGTGCAGTGGTCCTTTGGTGTTCTGATGTGGGAGATGCTGACCAGAGGAGCAAGTCCCTACCCTGAGGTGGACCCATATGATGTAACACATTACTTAATGAAGGGCAGGAGGCTCCCCCAGCCACAGTACTGTCCTGACCCACTGTAAGTAAAAAGACTTTTGCTTCTATAGTAGTTTCAAGAAGTTCTTGTATGAGAATTAGGCTGAACTAGGACAGGTGCAAAGCAATAACTTTGGGCACAAAGTCCAAACTGAAAAACAAAACCAAGATGTTCAAACAATTACCCCGTTGTAGTAAATTGTCCACTTTGCTCTGTTCCAGCATGGTTATGGAACATCATTTTTAGGTTAATGAGTACAACAAGTCAACACGGTGCAGCAGTGGTTAGAACTGTTGCCCCCGTACTCCTGTTTCCTCCCACAGACCAAAAACATGCACGTTATGTTCACTGGTAACTCTAAATTACCATTAGGTATGAGTGAGAGCATGAATGGTTGTCTCATTTGTCTCTATGTGTCCCTGTGATGGACTTGAGACCTGTCCAGATGTTCCCTACCTCCCACACAGTGACTGCTGCAGAGAAGCACCTGCTGTTGTGACCCGGACAAAGAATTTGATTGATCAATTTTACAAAAAAAAAAAAAAAAAAAAAAAAAACACATTGAAGAGCCATGACTATTTTACTTTCACACTTTTAAACTCATCATCTCACTGCTTTGATTTGATTGTTTTAATGATAAACTCCTGAAACTATAGTTA